ATAATATGTGTCGTGTTTATTACAATACCTCAATTTGTATGTTTAAATTCTCAGATAATCTTTGTTGTGTTTATTACAATACCTCAAGTTGTATGTTTAAATTCCCTGATAATCTGTGTCGTGTTTATTACAATACCTCAAGTTGTATGTTTAAATTCTCTGATAATATGTGTCGTGTTTACTACAATACGTTAGTTACGATAGGTTAGTAACTTAAAACCGAACAATTAAATAAAATAAGCTAAAGATTTAATGGCAAATTGTTTTAAATCAGAAAAAGTGAGCAAACTGTTACTTCAAATACGCGGATCTGACAGGTTTTAAATTAATAATTTTTATACAACCTTCATTTTTCAAGTTTTGTTTATTTCAGAAGTTTCACCAAAACTACACAAAGGGCTTTACTCTTATCTGACCGTCACTCAAAAAACGCGCCAATGTCTCCAAAATGCAGAGCACGTTTTTGTGTCAACGAGGCGCAAACCATTCAAATTCCGAGTAGGCTAACCACAAGGCAACGCCTTGGCCCATGTAATATCCATAAAACATTACTTTTAGATCAGAAGGCAACAACTATACATGTATATATATATTTGCACCGTTAGAAAGAGCAAAGAATTAAAAGACATAAATGTAGTATAAGAAGAGAAAAAACACGCAGACATGGTTGTTGTTAATTTATTGAAAGAAAACACAAACGTTTACTTAGATTTAACACACAACAGAAAAAATAAGTGAAACAGCAGGAACTCTATGTCCGCAGTGTTTCTTCTGACGAAGGGTGGGTGGGATCAAGAGCCTAAAAGACCCACTGCACCGCAGACAAATATAATAGGTTGGAAATGTAGTTACAACGATTCTATATAGCCATGGTCATGTTATTCGTCGTAAAGAGCCACGTGTAGTACACGATACATTGATGACAATGTGCTCCAAGGTTATTGTTTAACAGAACAAGTACGGGGACATTACTTGAAATGATCGTTCGTGACGTAAGATATTGATATTTTCGGACAGTGGTGTCGTAAGGAAACGCTAGTTTCAGGCTTGGTAAAGCAAAACTTCAGAGTTTAGTATAGTTATAGTTGAGGACAAGCAACACCAAATGTGACCACTTTGGGAAAGCGCAGTTTTTTGTCCATAGTGGACTTAGTAATTCAAGTAACTTGTTTTTCGTATCATTTCGAGTAGAATTTATGTAACCAGAAAGGGCTATGTACGTCTCCTTCTGGACTGTCTAATTCGAAGACTTTAATCGTTGACATATACTCAGGAACACTCCTCAGACACAGGAAGTTACGTACTGCTCTGTTCCATCATAATCATGGCAATAACCTGCTTGCGATCAAATTCCAATCACGGCACGTGACACCAAAGGTCTACTCCTTATATGATCAGTTTCAATTGGCTACCCACGACGTCACTGGTATCGCTAATGTCGTTTAGGGACTCATGTTGCGAGTTTCCTGGAATCTAGGCTTTCACCGTTACCAGGAGATGCATCCCTGCCTCTTCCAACACCACGTGAGCATCATGTACTACAGCTGTACAGCAGACATCATATTTACGAGAATGATGACAATACTGCAGTTTTATTCCAGTTCTGGGCAGAATACAAAAAGTCGGTGCTTATTTCAAATAGGTATACAGTGGTTCTCAAACTTTAACATCCCGCGAACTCTTTTCGTGAAAACGCCAAATATCGCGAACCCCCTCCTAAAAATAAATATTTTCCAGCGATTTTCTCCCTTACCTAAGTATAGATTATTAAAAACAATGACCTTAAAAATATAAAATTGGTTTTTCTTGTGACACTTTTATTACACACTATTATTGCATTATTAATTTTATTACATTATGAAAACGGCAAAGATCTTCCACGATTTCACTTTCGTAACTCGTATTACTTTGACTAAGCCTAAACTACTTCTTCATCTTAATTTTAAAAACAGAAAAATTGCCCCCTCACCTTTCCATTTCTCATGAGGAGTCATGAAGTTATAATCTAGTCAATGTAAGGGATGAGCGCAAACACTTTTTGCTTACGCCATTGTGGAATTTTTTCCGAGAACGCCCAGAAACATTTCGCGAACCACTGATGTAATACATTGTCAAAACAGTTACATTTTGCATATTCGTTCTGTCTCACGTGTTTAGCTTTTATGAAATGTGACATAAATGCCACCGTCTTCAGCGTAGAAACTGATATACTTAGTTGTATTTTAGTAAATATGTGAATTTTTTCTTTGCCATCTTTGGAATTATGACACGAAAAGGGATGGCATAACACAAAAACCTTATCGCGTCTACAGCTATGTTTGTATAGTTTCTTCGAAACCCATTTTTTTAACACTTATGTCTGCCTTCTGTATGTGCGAAATTTGTTTTTGGTTTGATTGTTTATAATACATACAGCATTAATGTGGTTTTTCTCACGTCCAAGTTACGAGCCGGTTTCCTGTGTATGATTTTCAAATAAAATTTCTGGTACAGTTTTTGAAGATGGGTCAACTTTATTGATGAAATCTCGTGAAGTGCCGTGCATATATTGAAATTCACATATCTAAGTAGTCACAACCAGTTTTTATGTAAGTGTGTGTTATAAGGTAAAGTGGTTACTTAAAGTAAGATTACAAATATCAGTAGACTAAGAAATATTTGTAATTATCAATAGGTCACTGAATATGTTTGGTAACATTGCACCCAAACTAAATTCTTGTATTTCGTGCAGGAGTACATCCACAGGGTGGGGCGAACAGCCCGTGGGGAGGGAGGCCGTGGACACGCCCTGCTGATCCTACGCCCTGAGGAGCTGGGATTCCTTAGGTACCTAAAACAAGCCAAAGTTCCGCTTCAAGAATTTGATTTCTCCTGGAACAAGATCGCCAACATTCAGCCTCAGGTGATGTTTCGTGTGTTCATTCCTAAAGAAATGATGACCTACCTGTCTTGTTTATAGGGAAGAAAAAATGCATATTATCTTGGAATTTCAAGTAGTTTATTCTTTTAATGATTAGTATTATTAAGGTTATCGCCAAAAAAAGTCAAATTACTTGGTGTTAACTCCAAACGTTTTAAGTTACAGTTATGATTATTACTGTAGAAATAATGGATGCAAATAACTTTAAAAAATACTGTGTCCTTTTTTTAATTTTCAAATTCGGTTCGTTTCTTATTCATATTAGAGCTTTATATTATCAGGGAATAATTTACCTCATCAAGAAAATGGGGCCGTCTTACCTTCTAATAATCGGTTAGGTAATAAAACTTTAAATCCGGTTTTGTTTAGAATCCTGTAACTCGTTTTGTTCTAGCATCCTTCTTGTCGACTTATGGGTGGGGGTTGAATCCCTCCCTTATCGTCTAAGGTTTATCTTCTTTCCAGGTTACTAACTAAAAAAAAAATATTAAGTAAAATTACCGACGAAAAAAAGTTAAATTTTGTGAACTTTTGCTCTTGTATTAAGAGTCAAAATTCAATCTCCACGTATTATGTTTTAGTTTGAATTTTCCCATGTTCATACATCGTGTAATTACATTTATCAATTTTTATTTAAAAGCTACAAACTGTATATTTCTGACATGATATACTTAAAACTATTAGTATTTCAAAAAATACTGTTATTAGGCCTAATATAAAAAACTTTCCAGATTCGATCTACCATTTCTATTAATTGCTTATAAGATGAAAAGTATACTTCGTGTTGTGGCATTATTGGAGTATATGCACATTATATGTATATTTGAAATACACCACAATGAATTCGGATAAGCACTAAAGAAATCAAGCTACGGAGAAATCTCAAGCTAAGGCGGAATCTCAAGTGAACTGAGGGTGCACTACAGTCTTGCTATATTAAGTCAGTGACTCCTATCGGAATGATTCAGCGGTTGGACTCTAAAGAAACGAATGATGTCATAATGATCGTACTCAAACCGAAAAAAAAAACATTGAGTAAATGAGACTGGAGTATCAAATTGATGTTGTTTGCACTTGAAGACGTTAGTCAAAAATCACCCCCCCCCCCCAGAAACGGGTTTTGATACCCATTGTGTAGCTTTGTGATTAATTACAAATAAAAAAAAAATAAAATTAGCCTTATTTAAGAAATGTGCTTAATTTGAGTGTATCTGTTTTGCGGGGGGGGGGGCTTTTACTATTACAAAG